GGCACTGATGATGCCTCTCCTGTGCTGCTCTGTATGCCCATTGAAGAATAGCCCTGTGTAAGCTCGGGGTCGGCCTTAGTTAGAGCTTGCACATGGTTAAGGACACTCTTTCTACCCCTCCTCCACATCCCCATGACAGCACTGGGGTCAGGAAATTAGATGCTGAGATGCCAAATGCTGGATCCTAGTAGGATCACCGGCTTTACCATGCAGATGCACCGGGTATGTTACCAGGCTCCAGCAGGCAGGGGGCATCAAAGTTGTGGGAGAGGGGAGGGTGCAGGGGGGAAGGGTCGGCTACCAGGCGTGCCTGTTATGTTGCCCCGCATGGGCAAAGAACGGGTTTGATTTAATTAGAGCTTTCGGCATGGATTGGACCAGAGATTTGATTCGCCATCACTCCTCTATCTTCTCTATTCAGCGTAGGGAAGGAGACGCCAATCTTGCATAAATCTCTCTATGGATGAAGACACTTGGAGATCTAGAGCAGGGAGCTGTATTCCAGAATATAAGATCCCGAGCAGTTGCTAGGTGACTGACCATTAATAGGGCAAAAAATATCCTCGGAGACGTCAGCTGGTGTATTGGAGGCGGATCCCAATAGAAAGACGGGACCCCCCCTGACACCCGATCTGCTACCCTCTCCTTCCGGTGACTCTCCCGATCGTGTCAGTAGAAGATCCCGGTCGTGTCTGCACATCCCGCTGTCCGTGGTTCTGCAGAGCCCCCATGCCGGGACCTCGACTTGGCTTTTTGGTGAGGCAGCAATGATGCCGAAGTTCTCCGCACGTGTTTTTTTTCGGCCCCGATAGGTTGTAAATTTGTGTTTTGAGATACTTTTTGGCATAAACACATAGGGATGTATTGCTAAGCAATTCGCAGAGCCATTCGTTCTGTGCGAATGGAGGCAAAAACAAATGCTATTGGTATATTTTCTATCCAGGGCGAATCGAATATCAGGAAAATGTCACATTATGGCCAGTAGATGGAGTGGATGAGCATAGGGGATGATTTAATTATGGCCACTAGATGGAGCTGAGGAGCATAGGGGGTAAGAGTTTATAATGGCCTCTAGATGGAGCTGAGGAGCATAGGGGGTAAAAGTTTATAATGGCCACTAGATGGAGCTGAGGAGCATAGGGGGTAAGAGTTTATAATGGCCACTAGATGGAGCTGAGGAGCATAGGGGGTAAGAGTTTATAATGGCCACTAGATGGAGCTGAGGAGCATAGGGGGTAAGAGTTTATAATGGCCACTAGATGGAGCTGAGGAGCATAGGGGGTAAGAGTTTATAATGGCCACTAGATGGAGCTGAGGAGCATAGGGGGTAAGAGTTTATAATGGCCACTAGATGGAGCTGAGGAGCATAGGGGGTAAGAGTTTATAATGGCCACTAGATGGAGCTGAGGAGCATAGGGGGTAAGAGTTTATAATGGCCACTAGATGGAGCTGAGGAGCATAGGGGG